TAGATAGATAGATAGATAGATAGATAGATAGATAGATAGATAGATAGCTTAAGGGAGAGCATCAACTAATGTATCCATTAGAAATATAGATAGCTAGATAGATAGATATCCATTAAAAATATAGATAGCTAGATAGATATATAGCTAGATAGATGGCTAGATAGCTAGCTAGCAAGCTAGCTTAAGGGAGAGCATCAACAAATGTATCCATTAGAAATATAGATAGTTAGATAGATAGATATCCATTAAAAATATAGATAGCTAGATAGATAGATAGCTAGATAGATAGATAGATAGATAGATAGATAGATAGATAGATATTGGGTGGTATCTGTCACCCAGTCTGACGCTTGCCTCATTTTCCATCCGTTGATCCTCTTCCAGGTGAGCAGTTCCTCCATGGAAGACACTGCCCCCAACCAGTGTCAGATGTCTCTCCTCCTATCAGAAGCCTTCCAGGCCATGAGGACCGAGCTGGACTCTCTTCCGCTCGGGGCGCCGAGCGCGTTGGCCGTGGAGGGGGGTCTGAGAGGAGTGGGCGAGGAGAAGACGGTGGCCCTGCTGGAGGAATACTCCATGCTCCTCCTGCAGGCCGTCCACCGGAGGGTCAACAACTCGTAGCGGGGGATACAGGGGAACTCACTCCATTTTTGCTCATACACATCGGCACCACTCCACTACAGCATCGATCAAACTTTTGACACCCGACTTTAGTTTTTGTTTCTCCATTCATCAACATTTTTAGTTGTCTTCATCTGTTACCGAACAATCATTTTTTAGCTGGACCACCTCTCTACAGCCCTTTTTGTCTTGTTGACCTTACCGTCTGAGCCATATTCATCCATTCCCAGCTCTGCTTATTGCACCAATGAGCACACGGGGCCAAATGTGGAAGGCAGGATCTGTCCTGAGGCCACTTGCATCAAGTCCCCGAATCTGATTGGCGAATACCCGCTCCACACACCTGTGCTGCTGTCAGAATAAAACACAGGAGGGTTTTGAGGCATGTTTTTCTGGCTGAATCGTGGCTGTTCTGACTGATTTCTCAGTGGATTGGACAGCCAGGACCAGATGCATGAAGGTGGTGTTCAAACAAAAGTCATGTGTGATGTGACATTTACGCTGAACTTACACAGCGAAATCTTTCGTTTTCATTACTTTTTGTTCTGTCCACAACCTATAAATAAGAGACCAAATCAAATGAATTTATTCTGAACTCTTCACTGAAGAGAGGGGATGACTCAGCTTAGCTTTAGTGACGAACAGAATAGAAATGGCTCTCACTCACAGTTATGCTCATAAATCTACACACCCCTGCAGATATATGAATCATAACACAAAAAACTCAAGGTTTGTGGTTGGATGAAGCCAGTTATTGGTGAATAACTGTGTTTTCTATTCATAATTCACAATGACAACAAAGAACATCCAAAAGTTTGATCAAAAGTTTACATACCCCAGTTCTTAATACTGTGTATTGCCCCTTCTAACATCAATGAAAGATTGAAGTCTTTTGTGGTAGTTCTGGATGGGGCTCCTTATTTTGTCAGATGGTAAAACTGCCCATTCTTCTTGGCAAAAAGCCTCCAGTTCCTGTTAATTCCTGGGCTTGTGGCCAAAATTTTTGTTGGTCTACCTGAGCCTGGTTTAGTTTTTTAACAGAGTCCCTGATTTTCCATTTGCTTGTCTCCATTAGTTTGAACAGTGCTGACAGGCTGTATCAATTCCTTGGATATCTTTTTGTATCCCTTTCCTGCTTTATAAAGTTCAACTAACCATTACAGAGGATCCAGAAACGTCTGTTAGTGGATGAAAGATGCAAGAGTCTGTCTGGATACTAGAAAGTCAGTTTTTATGCAAACAGATCACAGGTGAGGATGGTTTAGTAGCCATTCAAACCCATTTGTGTCAACTTTTGACCATGTTATCAGGCCAAAATCTCCAGGGTATGTAAACATGTGATCAAACTTTTTGATGTTTTGCGTTGTCATTGTAGAAAACACAGGTGTTCATCAATAAATGGCTTCATCCAACCACTAACCATGAGTGGAAAAAAAGTGTTTGTGTTCTGATTCATATTCTCTGAAAAAAGGCCTAAGGGGTATGTAAACTTATGAGCACAACTGTAAGGGTTTCCAGTCACAGTGACAGATTATTAAATGAGCTCTATTCAAACATGGCTTTTATAAATCTGATGAACGTGTTTACGTTCTAAACATCTTCTGTGATGAGTCACCACGACAATGAAAACCAGGAGCACATGTGGGAGCAGGTGGAAAGGCCTCCTAAAACTAGCGCCAAGAATTAAACCCCGCATTTCAGACAAGCTGAAGAGAAAACATTGAGAGCGACAGGCATGACGGAAAGTGGACAGAAGGAATTTAAACCTAGTCTTCCTCCAATCGTCATCTGTGACGCACAGATCAGTTCAGTTGTTTACGGGCTGCGAACGCAACACTCCAGTGCTTCATTCATGGCACGCTTTCCAAGTTTGTCATCGGCGAGAAGAAAGAATGTCTTATTTGTTCTATGCAAATTTCGAATACACATGCGGCTCATCTATCCATCCTCTAGGAAACATCTGGTCCTCATCACCTTGAACAATAATAACAAACCCATTATTCAGTCACCTTGTGATCTTCTAGACTTTGAAGTGATCTTTGATCAAGTCATCACGGGAACCTGAAGATGAGCTACAAGGGTTAGGCAAATACAAACCCTGGTTCAGCAGGGAACAACAAAAAAGTCCACTGAACATCAGAAAGAAGGCTTTCATGGAGAGAGATGAGGAGTTATCGAGGACTGTTTAGAAACAAATGCAAAAGTAGACGGGATTCAGATCCACTCTGCATGCTCCTCTGTAATTTGCAGATGTAAAGACCTTTCTTAGGTCACCCCCAAGCCCAGTCTTGAGCACAAGCTTCACCAGCATCCACAGGACCACCTCTGCCCCCAAAACTTCTTTAACTCCAGCCGTCGGATGAAGAAGTAGCTGGAAAAGTCTTAATCACAACAGAGCAGAGCAGTTTTTGTGGGATTCTACGGCACCTCCTCGGCCAAAGACTGAGTCAGAAGAAAGTTCCAGAGCTTTCTAGAGCATTCTGTCTGGTTCCTTTACCTTAACCTTTGATCTATCTGCTCCCAGCTCTAAAATCCCAAACCAGGAAAGCCCTGCAGAGACCGTTTCGGGTTCACCTACAGCGCAGACCAGTGGAGCAGCATGAGGATCATGTTCTGTGGTTTCTGTAGTTCTTGTGATTGTGGAATTTAAGAGGATAGGGAACAAGTCAAACACAAATACCTGGGCGATTACCTAGCGAGCGGCCTGGACTGGGCTCTTACTAGGGTAGAATGTATTTGCCGTGGAAGCTTAGGTCCTACAGTCTGTGTCAAGATGGTTCAGATTTTGCTTTTAGTCTCTAGTGGAGAGGACAATCTACATTGCGGCTAATCGGTGTTGGTTCAGCATCAGAGTCTGAGACTCAAAGGAAGAACAAACTGATGCGTACTGTGAAATATTGTTAGAATAATTAATTGTTCAGCCAGATGCTTCTTGCTGCTATGAGCATTACAGGAAGTCACCCCTGTCAACAGCAATAACCTACACAAGGACTTTTATCCATTGATTTTTATGCTGCAAAATCATTTACAATTTTAGGATTAATGAAGTATTATTCACTTAAATGTATTTGAGTGAACTTCTAGAGAGTTTTGTGCATCTGATTTCTGGACTTTCATTGGTCTGAATCTTTTTTTGACTATATATTGTAGCTGACTTTAGTGAGGTGAAAATGGCCGAATGAAACTTTATAAATAAATCCACTTGACTTTCATTCCTTTATTTGATGTAAACTTTCTTCTACTTGAAGCTAAAATGTTCAGCATGACTTTTGTTTCTACTGATTTCAGAAGTGCACCGTTTGTATTTATTGTGTCGATATGCTGTTACACTACTGACCAGGAACTACACCCACAACTGACTCAAGTTTGTAGAGTCACGAATCTTATTATGACTTTTGATATTCTTTGAGAGGATTTGCTGGGTTGAAAGTGTGATCACAAATGTCCCAGTTCTGTTTGGGATATGGTGTTTTTGTCACATTTATTAAAGGTTTCAGAATTGCTGATATTTCGCTGTTACTGAACGTGTCTTCCCTGTTCTGCTAAAACCCTGGATCTGTGCCGCATTTTTAACTCAGAAATGACAGATTAGCACCCAACCAATGACTGATCGTGTACTCGGACATATTTTATTGTCTGAAGGTGACCGACAGCATTAAGGTGACAGCCATAACAAAGAGACACAGTAAGTTTTTGTTACCTTTGTGTACTCACATCTAACGTAGTCCATCTAAAAATGACCGGATAAAGAAAAATGTACTGTAATAGCTGAAAGAGCAGCACCATGCCGATGCTCCCTGTGGTGGTTTTCTCTGCCAGAAGACACTAAGATGATAGATAATTCGATACTGGCTGAAGATCTAGGAGTGGATTTACAGTTAGGACGATGGTGTCAGGGCAGATTTTCAGTGGAGGGTTCCTTTTGATGAAGATAGTCAATTGCTCAGCTTGAAGCCCGATCTTTACCCCGATACTTGGACATTCTTTCAAACCGGGAACAGTAGGAAACCAGAGAAGACGCTGAAGTTCCGCGAGTCGTCGTAGAGCCGGTAGCTGGCGGGCAGGCTGAGGCGGATCTGGTCCCCCTCCTCCAGCTGCAGGGCCAGCGCATTGGAGGTGGACGCATACCCGCCGTGGTCGTTCAGGTCCAGGTTGAAGACCACCGGCTGGTTGTTCCTGTACAGGTACAGGCCCATGTAGCCCTTCAGGTAGTCTGCCACCGTAAAGCTGAAGAAGTAGACTCCTCTCGTAGGGGCTGTGAAAACACCTGAAAGAACAGAGGAAGGGTTTGCCGTTGCTTAAAAAAACCAAACAACCGAAGAGGACTGCCATTGTGTTTCAAGCTACTGTACCTGCAGACTGGTTGTAGCCTTGGCCAATGTTGGTGATGGTTTTGGAGAAGATTAAGGTTGATTCTTCATCGAATGGCCCCACTGGTCCTGCATCGGTCAGTCCGGCCGAGAAGCCCACCTTCAGCGGATCTGGCAGAAGTGGGTAGATGGTTTTAAATATCTGTCCCTTGCTAATGGCCTAAAGGCCCGATCTGTGACCTAGAGTTTACCTCTGTTTTTCATCTTTAGCTCATTCACAGCAGCTTCAGCCACTCTCAGTCTGACCTGCAGCTCTGATAAGAAAATATAGTGATATGTGACATACATAATATCTTATATACGTAATCAATGAACACAATCAGTAGACTCAGTACTCAGTTACCTTCAGTTTTTCTTTGAGCTCCTCTCAGTGTGTCTGAAATGGAGACAAGCTCCAATGCTCTGACTGAAACAGACATATATGGGAATTGTGTCAAACTCAGAGAAGATGAGCAGAGATCACTCAATGTTTACTCAGTTTTTCTTTGGTCTCACCTGTGATTTGTGTCTTCAGTCTGTCCAGCTGCTCCTCGGTCACGTTCAGCCTGACCGTCACAGCTGACAGCTGCGCTTCACAAACTGAAAACACATTTTATTTTATTTTAAGGCAATTCCTCCAAACATTTGACTCATTTCACGTTTGACACGTTACACCAACAAATCAAATGAACAAACGATTCTGCAAATAAATGACACCTTAATAGCCATTTGAGCTCTGAGGGTATACTGGACTGTATTGGTTCAAATCTGAAATAGAACCTTCTTTAGTAAAAAGTATTTTCTCCCCATAGTTTATTTTAGGGAAAGAAACTCTCTCCTTAACCCAGAATGGGATTAAGATGGTAAGGTAAATAGATAGATGCTAGGATGAACATCTTTCAAGTTATTTCTGAGTATATCAGAAAGCCACCATCTTCTACATACAGACAGATAACATGAATATCACTGTAGAAGTGAGAATATTTTCTTTTGAGAATAATCCTTCTCACCAAAGATGAGCAAGTCATACTCTCACGGACAAGTGGAAATGTCATTTCAGGAAGTAAAAACCCGACAGCTGTAAGTGCTTCATGGCAAATGGGGAAAAAAAGCACTGTGACATGCTTGATAATATAGAAAACAAATTAGTCATAGGGATGGAAATAAGCTTTAACATTTCATTTCAGAAAATAACCCTCAAATTCTGGTGCTGTCCTGTTTGGTTGAATTCTTAACATTATCAAGGACAGAAGAGGTATGAGATGGAATGCCACATGGTGGTGTGGTAGTTAGCATCATTGCCTCACGGAAAAAGGCTTCCCTTCTGTTTGAAGTCTGCATGTTCTCCCTATGGGTTCCCTCTGGGTACTCCGGCTGGTGGACTGGCGATCTGTACAGGGTATCCAACTCTTGCCCAATGCCGGCCAGGATAGTCTCTAGCCCGCCCTGTGATCCTACTATAAATGAGTTGTATGGATAATGGATAGATGTTTTTTTAGCAGCTCCAACTCCATTTGTTTTGATTCGGAATACACATTATTTCTTTGTTAAAGAAAGATCTCTGGTTCTTCAGTAATAACTTGTTTGCCTTTAAGAGTATTTTCTGGTGTTTCAGTGCCCTAGGTAGTGCTGTTGACGTTCAGGAACTTTTTAGATTTCTTTCGTATAAATTTGATATTTTGGGGATTATTGGAACTTGAAATAATTGGATTTAGACTTCATCACAATTAAATAGACTCTAAATGGCTTGAATTGGATAGTATCTTTTAAGTGCCTTGAGATTAAATCTGTTGTGATTCAGTACTATAGATATATAAAATGCTGGGTGTGGTGCTATTTTAAAAAAAAAGCTATGCCAATCTTTGAGTTGATAGCACAACTAAATAATAACTTATTGAACATGTTAACGTGAATATTTCTTAAAAAGAATGCCTGGAAAAGCAGAGTCTGAAGAGATTGTGTCAAAGTGGGGCTCATTCGGGGCCTTTTGGTTGCTGAGCCTCATGTACAGTGGACAAAGTTCTTTGATGAAGCTATCCAGGATCCAAATCCCAGCATGGGCTTCTTCCTGAACATCACCAAGCTTTCTGTGTCTCCTCCTTGTGGTCAAGCAAGAAATAAATGCAATTAATGCCCAAAAAAATCATTTTTTTTTGCCTCCTGATTACGAACCCATTTCTAATGCGAAACAACCTAAACCAAGTCATGGTGAGGCAAATAGAGCTAAATGGGGCTGATTAGGGACTGATGTAAAATATTTGCCATGTGTTTAGCTTCAGCACACCAAATTTCTTGAACTTGCCCATTTTATCTGGAAAATCAAGGGGCTCCAGGCAGTCTTTTGGCAAATTAGGCAGAGACAGCCGTTTCGAAATGCCAGTGAAAAAGTTCTCCAATTTCCACTGGTCCTTGAAACAGCGGCCATTCGTTGTAAACTTTCCTCTTTTCGCGCCAGTTGCCATTTTCGAAACGGGCTAAAAATATTCTCATACTCGTGCGGGAATATGCTGTTAGCTCATTGGTCACTAAGCAGGACCAGGGAAAGGAAGTTTACCATAAAGTTTCATTAAAAAAAGTGCCCGGTTATTCATTTTCGGACGATTCCTCTCACAGTAATATGGGACACAGTGCATTTCCGCTCCATAAAGAACGGGTGCTTTTGTTTCTAAATACAAGACGATTCTGTTTTTCAAGGGAAAATAGTTATGAGAATGTAGCCACAGGTCTACTGCTGGATTATGGTGAAGTATACAATTTCTTTGTCTTATGTGTGTATTGTTGATTGTGGGAAACTGTGTTGGCGGGCCACATATTATTGATTTTTTTAAAATAATTCTGTTGAGTCATGGTTGAAAAGCATAGTCTGACTTTCATTTGCTCATTTTCATATAATTCTTATTCATCACTACTTTGGTCAGATTCAAGTTATTTCCCTAACCATTGTGGGTTTTTCTTTCATTAACTGAGAGGCACCAACAGTTTTCTCCACGTCCGAAATTAAGTTTTCATCTGATAAATTATTTTCACCTCTTTAAAAATTTGTGACCAAATTAATGTATCTCTTTTGGCTCTTAGAGATGTAGCTGCACACAATCCGCTTGGCTTAATGACGGAAAATAATCTGATGATTTTGGTCTGCAATGAATGTGAAATTGTGGCATTATTATGGTATTTTTCAGTTACAAATTGAAGCCCACCAAATACAATTCAAGTGGCACCAAAACTGAAAAAGGAAACATTTTATTGAGAATTTGATTTTTAAATACATATTTTCTTTGGCCAAAACAAATTTCCAGAATCAAAGAGTATTATTCATCTTTCTTTTTTAGTTTTATTGATAAAAAAAAAACATTAAAGATGCCATATTGATTATTTTGATCAGTGTCTTGTTGAAATAGTTTGATTTGTGCATTGCTCGTGTTGGGCTCTTGCATTCATTTTAATTTTTTTATCAGTTTTTGTCATATATTCTTTCTGCATCAATTCATTTTGTAATCCAATCAAGTTTAATTTCTAAATTCATCACATAGGTTTTTTGGCAGTTGGTTGGCGGGCTAAAGTGAGTTCAGTTTTCATCTTTTTTTGGGGAGAAATAGTGCAGTGCATGTTATATTTTGTGCCATTTTATCAATTTTGTCAATGTGTTTTGTTGGATGACTCATCCATTTTATTTTCATTCATCCTTTATTCTCATTGGACACTTTAAACCTCTTTTCTACCTAATAAGATTTTAAAAGTTTTTTCTATTCCTCTCTGATGCTCCTTATACAGTAATACACACAGATATGACACCTAAGTTTAGCTAAGCAGTTTTAAGATATCTAGGCAAAATAAAAGTTGTATTGTGTCAGATGCATTTTGACTATATAGAACAAGTGGTATACAGCAGTGCGCCTCCCCTGGGGGGGGGCAATCTTTTTTATCATCATTATTTGAGTTGACATCCCCATTTGACGTAAGTTCAGTTAGATATTGGTGTCTGTTTATTTCAGTTTGTCTGCTGTTGAGAACAACCATTTATGAATTTGCTCTAATGA